GAGAGATTTTTGCTATAGAGTGTGTGCGCTCACCAGAGAGACAGAGAAAGTGAGACATCACCCCCTAGGGGATGGTCAGTCCACAGTCTCTTCTCCTCCCTTCTCCTCTCAGGATTTTGGGCCTGCCTGCACTCACGCCCAGCGTAACTTTTAAGCCGCTGGGTCTAGAACTCGACCCACGATCAACTGTGTGGGATTCCACTGACGTCATCATTATGCCATCTGCTGGTCCCCACCACAACTTGTTAAACGACTTAATATTATTAATGGCAATAGCTGACATGAATTTACCTAAAGCTTCTCATGGTGCAAAGCACCAGGCCGAGTGCCATGTCCGCGTTCTCCCGTTTAACCTCCTGACCCAGCAGATCGTGCAGCTGGGACTAGAGGCGACGAGTGACCTGCCCAGGGCCATGGGTCTAGTGAGTGGAGAAGGCAGGGTTGGAACCCAGGCAATCTGACTGCAGTGCAGAGAAGTCACATGCACAGCAGGAACTTCCCTAAGTCCTGAGTGTGAGCCCACCTTCCCGGAATGGGCAGACGGGGGCAGAAGCAGTGGGAAGGCGTGGCTACGGCCTACAGCCCTGGAAAAGCCGCCCTGTGGAGGCAGTTTCGTTTTCTCCTGGATTTGAACATCGGTCAAACCATTATAACTTCCTTTGAACTGAGGTCCAGTCTGCAGAGAGAGATCTCTAGGCCACTTCAGGATGTTTGCGTGCTAGAAAGGACGAGGGAGCACGGCACAGAGGCAGGGCAGGGCACACATAGTGCTGCCGCTGTGTGAGCTGATGAGTGAGAAAGACTTGGATTCTCTTCTAAAAAGAATTATCCTATTTAATTTTATTTATGGGACCAGCAATTAGCGTAATGGCTATGTTGCTGGACTCTCACATAGTCGACCGTGATTCTAGTTCCGGACCCAGTGGCTTAAACTACGCCGGGCACATGTGTGTGTGTGCCCAAGATCCCGAGAAGAGAATAGAAGAGAAGGAATGACAGTGTGGTCATCTCCCCTGGGGGGTGAGTTCTTGCTTTCTGTTTCTCTGTCTGTCTTTCTGATGAACGCATGCACCCTATAGCAAACAAAACAAAACAAAAACTCTCAAAATTTTTTATTTATTATTATTGTTTTTAATTTGACCAGACACACACACACACACACACACAGAGTGAGAGAGAAAGAGAGAAAGTGAGAAAGCAAGCCATCAGATCCAAGACTTGAACCATGGTGAGCCATGTGGGAGTCCAGTGCCTTGCCACCACACCACCTGTTGGCCTCAAGAACTTGGATTTTACTTCTTAGGCATTTCACATACAGTAAAAGGAGAATTTAAAACATATTTCCAGGAGCTAGCACCAGGCAAGAGAGTCTGCTGTGATGAGGAAGCAAGAGGACACGGGAGGGTGCCTGTCCATGGGGCCGGGGCCAGGTCGCTTATAAATTTACACATAGATAAGGCCAATTGATTGCCTGGACCAGGATGCCTTTGACAGTGAAAGAGGGTGTTATTAATAATTACGCTGGGATAATTGGCATTAAACTAGGACTGTCCTTGGGTACGATTGCAATTATTCCTATTTATTTATTAAAGCAGCCTTTCTGGCCTCTAACGAGCAGGAGCCTGTTTGTCTGCTTTGAATTATGTCCACATTTAGAAGTCCCATAACAGATTGCATCCCTTTGTGGAGGCTGACTGTTCAAAGGCAGGGAAGGCATCTTGGAAGAGGAGAGAGCTCTGGGAAGGCTGCGGGGTGGTGGTGGGGGTTCCAAATCTAGGAGCATTCAGGAGTTGTGTGTGGGTTTTACCACCTGAAAGGCGTTTCTAGAAGTTTGGAAATCACGCCACAATATCTAATTTTGGAACCAGCAGATGGTACAGTGGTTATGTCACTGGACTCCCACATGGCTGACTGTGGTTCAAGTCCTGGACCCAGTGGCTTGAAATACATGCAAGGTGCATGTGTGTGCATGCCCAAGATCCCAGGAGGAGAACAAATGAGAAGGGGTTACCGTGTGACCATCCCCCGAGGGGGTGATTTCTCACTTTACCTCTCACTATCTCTGTCTCTCTCCAGCAAGTGACTTCTTATGTGGTCAGGTTAGTCATAAGTATTAGCAAGTCTAATTCTTACTGACCATAGCGTGCATGCCCTGTGGTAAAACGCTCTTAAAAAAATCTAATTCTGTGGTCTGTGTGTGCACATGTGTGTCGGGGAAGGGCGTGGCCATGGCGAGGGCATTGAGAGCTGACGTTGGAACACTGCAGAAGGAGTTCCGGCCGGGGGGAGGTGCAGCACCGGGTCCTTTTCCCTCCCACGGAGGTACGTGAGGGCCTGACCCGCAGCTCACCCTGGGCTGCGTAGGTGGTCCTCGTGATGGGGCGTGGGACGAAAACTCAGGCAGTTACCATCTTTTCTGAGAACAATGGGCAGGGGGGCCTGAGGGCTGTGGCCTGGGTGCCCATTTGCCATTGTGTATGACAGAAACACCAGCCAGCTGGACATTATTCCTGGTCTCAGGATGGACAAGCCCGTGTCTAAGTGTCACAGAGAGTTTAATCCAACATGGCCGCTGCTGGCTTTCCCGGCCTGCATTTCCCAGCTTTGTGGACTTTCAGTAGGTACGGGAGCTGTGTTTTCTGATCCCAGATAGAAAGATCACAGGGAAATAACTCGTCTTGGGCCTGTCTCTGATACTCAGAGGACGCGCCACGGTGGGGCTCTGTGAGGGGCCGACCTTAGGTCAGCGGTCTCTTCCTGCCTTTGCCGTCGCTTGAGGTGATGGACAGAAAGAAGATGGCAGCTCCAGTTCCTAGCTGATATGAATCTCACCGCGGTGGAGCAGTGATTCCTTATAGAAGGGTGTGTGTTCTAGAAGGGGGAAGAAGCTGGCAGACAAGGCTGTGGTGGCTCAGCAGCAGAGTTGAAGTCATGAAAGCAATCTTGGCCGACTTAATAGAAGGGACAGTCTCTGATTTAAATGTGTGTTTCTCGATTGCCAGTGAGGCTGAAGATTTTCCAACAGAGTTGTTGCTGGTTGTATTTCTGCTTTCGTGAATCACTTGTCTGTGGCCTTAGCCCATGTTTTGAAGATGTTGAGTGTTTTAGAGAAGGAGTGGGGGCCAGTGACTCTGGGTTTCCTACCACCTTTGGTGGGCAATTGTATCTACTGCTTTTACTCCTGCCTGGAATAAACCCTGCTGAGTCTTTAGGGGACCAAAGCGAAAATCTAAGAAAACTGTTTTCCCCTTAATCATAATTTTTGTGTTATGAGTGCTTATTAAATACTTTATGTGAGAATTATAATTACCAATTAAAGCCAGTATCAATAGCCTCAGATAATCAGTGAGTAACACTAATTAGAGGGTGCTGAGTACCTAGGAATTGCCGTAATTGTCGGCAAGCTGAGCTGAGGGGTGAACTCGCTGGGTGGGGCAGGGACACGTGCGTTCATACCAAGGCCGAGGGGATGGGCAGGGTGAATACGGTGTGGCAGGAATCACTTTGCTGATTGGAAGGTCTTCCTTGGGGAGCTGACTTGCTGGCGGGTGACACGGTAGGCTGTACTGTACCCTCGGGACTCTGGTAATGTTAATGAGGTCTCTTTCTGGATGGTGTGTGTGTGGGGGTTCCAGATTAAGGGTAGGACAGCCCCTCACTGACTCATCTACTTGTGGGTATGGCCCTCTAGCCCCTCTTGCCCCTTCCAGAACACACACACACACACACACAGACACACACACACACACTCTCTCTCTCTCTCTTAACAATTAGTGACTCTGTTTGGAATGCTTCTTTTTGAGAGTTTTGTTTTACTGCCGGACAGGGGCAGCTGGACGTGCTGCAGTGAGGGTTTTGGGTGCGCAATGCCTGGATCACATTAGCATCCCCGTCCAACCAAAGGCCTGAGAGGTGTGTGGGAGGAGGGTGGGTGAGAACCTTCCTCAGTCGCGGACAGCGTCTCCCTCCTCCCTGGGTACTGGGCTAGAAATGATCACCAGGGGCCAATGGAGAGGACCGAGAGCATGCAGTAGGAGCCAGAGGAACAGGGAAGACGGAGTCCACTCGGGCTTTCTGTTGGACCTGCTCATGGCAGGGGAATGATTTTAGAGTGGAATCCTAGCTCCACTCATCACCGGTCCTGGGGTGTGGAAAACTCAGGGAAACTCTTGGAAGACAGTGTAGGGTAATGGTACTTACCTCACTGTAGATCAGCAGAGACGGCAGTGGTTTAATTCAGAGTACAGCCTCCAGGGGGCAGCTGGGAGGTTAAGGCACTGAACTCCCACGTGACCAACTGCAGTTCGAGTCCTGGATCCAGAGCCTTGAAACTCATGCCAGGAGGTGTGTCTGTGTGCAGGTCCAAAATCCCAGGAGGAGAAAAGAGAAGGGCTCGCAGCATGGACATCCCCACTGGGGGGTTGTTTCTTGCTTTCCCTCTTTGTTTCTATGCTGAGTTCATGCACCCTAGAGCAAAAAAATCTCTCTAAACAAACAATGTAGAGCCTTCAGAGCCACTTGGCCTCGACTTGACGCCCTTTCCACACCTTACTAGCTGAGTGACATGGAGCGAGTTGTTTAACCTCTGAGTCTCAGTTTTGTAACACAGAACGTGAGTGTAACAGTGCCTACCCAGCTGGGTTATGCTGGTTCAATGAGTTGTGAGGAACGTAGAGTAATAAGTGCTATACAGAGTGTGTGAAATACTGAGAAATGGACAGGTAGGCAAATTGCCCCAACATATGCTGGGGGCGCTCACCCAGAGCCCAAAGCATGCCCTGTGCAGAGTGCGGGGGGTACGGGATTGGGCAAGCCAGGCCTGTCCTCCACCTTCCAGTCTAGTAGGAAGCACTGGCAGCACACAGGCGACAGAAGCAGACAGGACCATTTCAGATGTAGCTTGGGCCGCCAAGAGAGCTGAAGCAGCGTAGGTGATGAAGAGTGATGTGGGCGGGAAGGTGATTTTAGGTGGCTGAAGCCAGTGACATTAAAGTGCTTACCTGATGAAAGGAAGGACAGGGTCCTGGGGAACGTAGAGGAAAAAGCAGGGACGGAGGCCCTGTTGCTGTTCTGCTTGTGCACGCCTCTCTCCTGGTCACTCACACCTGCCACTCAGTTGTTGGACTGTTCCCAGACTGCTGGAATCACTGTCCCTCCAGAGAGAGCGGTAAGTACCTGGGAGTTTTCATCCCCCTTGGCAGCAGCCCTTAGCTGATGATAGAGGGGTGTGGGGTATTCATCCACCAGCCCCCGGCTCCTGGTAGGGATGACCCCCAGGAGTGACCAGCACTGTCTCCAGGACTCCCCTAGTGGTACAGTCACGGCCTTCTCTGTGGGACTTGGCTAGATAGCAATTAGCCCCTTAGCCCCCTCCCCTTCCCGACGCTTTGCCGGCTTCCCTACTGACTTTCCAGGGGAATTCTTCCCTAACGAATGCTTTCATTTCAACCTCCTCTCAGGTCCTGTTTCTGAGGACAGACCCGAGTCAGGGATGAGCTTGGCTTGTTGAAGGAAGAGCACGAAGCCTAGCAGACAGCTGGGGGTGGCGGTGGAGGCTGGGGTAGAGGAGAGGGTGGGAGGAAGGCAGGGGTGAGAGCTCGTGGGTCCTTCTAGGCTGTGCTAGAGTTGAACTTTTTCTAAGGACAATGGAAGTTTTTAGGCAAGGGAGCACTTTGTATGATTTATTTTTCAAGGAAAGACCTTTCTGGTCACTCTGTAGAGAGGGGCCTCTCAGGGAACAAGAGAGAAAGCAGGGAGAACGGTTCAGGTCCTCCAGGAGAGAGAAGAGGGGCTTGGACTAGGAGGGTGGCCAAGGGGATGGGGCCGGGGCTTGTTCTGGAGGACCGATAGGTGACTGACTGATGGATTCAGTTTTGTAGTCACCCAAAGTCATCACAAGCAGAAGAGTTCAAATGGGGACTGTGGGCTGGGGTGACCTCTTGATAGTCTGATGCCACGGGTTCTGCCCCTGCCCCACTGTAAATATCGAAGTGGCTTGTCCTTACTCTGAACCAGGATCCCCTTGTTGGTGCCTTTTTTATGATGTCACTTTGTGCCTTGCCCCAGAGACTGTGCCTCGACTTTATTTCTGCCGCTGGCTGTTCCTGGTTTGGGCCTTGTGAGAGGAGTCATGTGAGAAGAAGCTGGGGGTGGGTGGAGAAGTCTTGGGCAGACCTCTGTCCCTTTCTAGGCCTAGTCCCTTGCTTTGAAATGCAGGGAGGCAGTGCTAGGAACACCAAGGCCCTCCTGGTGGGAGGGTTCGGAGAGAACTTTGCTTGGGATGTGAAAGGTCGAAGGCTCCCTCTTGCCCAGAGGCACCTGCTGAGACATTGCTTCTGTAAGGGAAGGATAGACTGGGGTGCTGCCTGGCCTCCCAGGCTCAGATTCCAACAGGCCCTCCCGGTGGCCCTCCTTTGAGGACAGGGCTGGCGAGAGCCCACTTTAGCTGTGATCGGGTTGAGTTGGAATCTATTTTGCTTCCGTAAGGTAAGATAGCATTTCCCAGAAACCAATGATGGCCATTCTAGGCTATACTTTTTCCAGAAACAAAGTATCTAGAATATTCAAACTCTTGACTCCTAGGGGACAGCTCTTTTGAGAAACGAACTCCTTTCTGGCTTGTAGTGTCAGTGGGTGGTGGGCTTTCTTTGAGAGAACTTCTCTCCTAGATACTCACATTTCGTGATCCAAATACTCTATAAGCTGGTGGCTGACACCAGGCAGGGCCCGTGGCTTGATCTACAGGGCACATCTGGCAGACAGAAGTGGAGGGTCACGTTCTTAGTGTTGGTCAGACCCTCAGAAAACCTAAGGGCCCCAAGGAGGTAAGAAACCCCTATCCTGAGCCTTAGGGCCAGCTGACCAGCAGCGGCTCCCAGTGTCTACAGGAGTGGCCAGTAATGTCTGGAGGGATCTGCTCGGTCTACACAAATCAAGTTAAAATATTCCCAACTCTACAGAGACATTCCCCTTTTCTTACCTGTTCTAGAAACATAGTCTTACATGGGTGCAAAGAGACATCTGTGCAACTGCTCAGTGCAATTTGTTTGTTATTTTTAAAAGAAAACAAATCACCTCATCACTTTGTTTATTTAAAAAGTTTGCTATAGGGTGCCTGTGCTTTCCAGAGAGAGACGGTGAGAGGGAAAGTGAGAAATCACCTTTGGGGGGATGGCCACTCTGCAATCCCTTCTCCTCCATTCTCCTCTTGAGATTTTGGGCAATCTGCTTTTGTAAAGAATTATTTATGTTTATTATTATTATTTTAAAATTTGTTACAGGGCACATGCACTTATCAGAGAGGGCAAGAGGGCAAGTAAGTACACAATG